TATCGTCCCCTGTAAGTCAAGCCCTAGATCTTCTTCACGAGACATCCTATTTTCACTTGAATAGTTAGTTCTTAAAATAAAAAAGTGCCCCCATTCAACCCAGACCTTAAACGTGCACCGGCAATATTCCTTCCCTGAAAAGTAGAAATTGGGACTTTATTTTTAAAAATTCGCGATGATCAAAATAGTAAAAAGTGCCATGGAATGGAAGTCGCTGATGGACTCCTCTAAGCTCAAGCCATTATTGGTTGACTTTTCAGCAGAGTAATGCTAATATACCCCTTATCACACAGGTGGTGTGGCCCATGTAAGTCGCTCTTTCCTGTTCTTTCCAAGATTTCGGAAACAAAATCGTCTTCAATTACATTTGCCAAAGTCGATACCGATGAGTTTCCAGATCTCGCCAGCAAATATAAGGTAGGTATTTCTTTAGCGTGATGCATTTAGATCACATCCCTTCCGACCATGAAATTATTTATTGATTCGCAGGAAAAGAGTCAACTTGTGGGTGCTCAATCACCAACGCAGATTATATCCTTCCTTGATTCCCAGATCACCCAAAATAAATGATCGTATAATACTTTGCGCAACAAGAGGGAATGTTTGAACGGGCCTATTTCCAAGCTTGATGCGCGTTTCAGTTAGCCCACTACTTATCCGCGAAAACTCGATTTAAAAATTTTAATTTTCCATGCTCTCCAGGCTGATTTCGGTATTTCGTAGCAAGGAATCCTTGCTGGCTGCCAAAATCAATGCCGGAGCATGTGTCGGTGACTGGAATTTAATTTATGAGGGCCCTTTTAACTCTAAAATACGACTACTACAATTCTGCTCGGTTGCTACCTTTTTGTCGTCCGTTGCTCTCTCCGTGGTAGCATGCGTGGGTGCGTTTGCGGATGCAGAAAATTCTCAAATTCTGCACGAAAAATCAAAAAGTATAAATGACCTCCCCCTTGAGACACAAGAAAGAATCAACAAAATCGGCTTCGTTTCGCTTGGAGGTACAAATATTCTTTTCTAATCCATCACAGCCGTTAGCATTACATATTTATGTGCGCTTTGTTTCCACTCCTTTTCCCGTAAATATGTGTTCAAATTGTGGACACGAGGCCATACGATGGTCGTTCCCATCAAAAATGACCATGTATTTGGCTATCCGGAAAATGTTTCCGTCAGAATTGATACCCCTGGATTTTTTGGCAATACAGCCTCCATACATGCACCGCTGAAAAGCCTTCAAAGAGGCACTGACAACCATAAAATCCCATCTGTCTGCATCCCAGAAATTGGGCGATCTTTTATCGTAATTCTGGGAGAGGACAGTTGCATTCGAAATAAGGCCCACTTTTCTGCCTTTAAATCCTTTTTATTAAAAAACGACCAATTTTAATTTTGGCTCACCTTTCCGATGCCAGCAGAGGATGAGGACGACGATGACGCCAATTATTCGGATAACAGCGAAGAGGACGAAAATGTGAACGAAAATTCAATTATCCAGCCGCCCAACAGTGAGGCATGGACATTGACATCAAATTAAAATAGAATTGCGTTTGTAGCAGCTGTCTCGAGTCCTTTGGGAACCAAGGCAGACACCGGGTGGTCTCTTTGAAATGTGGGCATTTGTTTGGAAAGCGGTAACCGGTTGAAGATTTCAACTTTTAGATGCATTGAAAAATGGATCCAAAGCACTTACAACATGAATAGATCCTCAAAACCATCAAGCTCATCGAAATGCCCAACATGCAACGCACCAACAAAGAGGTCAGACATTCGCATCATCTTTACGACAAATGTTGTTGCTGTGGATACACAGCAATTAGAGGCAATGGAGGCCTCACTTCGCGTGGCAAAATCGGCTCAGGTGGCAGCAGAAAGTCAATTTAGCCAGCTTTCGTCCACAATCACGGCTTTGCAAGCGGAGCTGGTTTGGACGCAACAAAAGCTAAAAGACAGCCAAGATCTCTTGAGAAAGGAACGGATTTTATATCGTTCGGAAGAAAAATCGTCGACAAAGAGATTCAAGTCGATTCGTAATGGGATATTGGAATTTAAGAAAAGCATTGCCCTTGGTGCTGGGGCAGTAAGATTTTGGTGCTTTTTTTAGGGCCCTCGTTGTGTGACGTTTGATCCATATTTCAAATACGCAATTGCATCCAAGCCATCCCCATCAAATTATGAGAAGCAATTTGCATATGGTGTACATAGACTTTCACTGGCAGATCTCACTTCCTTTGATTTTGTGCCTTTGCATTGTTCTCCAATTAAAGACATGCGATGTTCCCCTTGGAAGGACTCCTCGATTTTAACCGCATCCCTAGATGGAGCAATGAAACTATCCAGCCTGTCGAGCAAAAATATCCTTGCAAGGTACTAAAGGCATTTAACTTTCCTAGCTTTGAAATAGGGGTTCCCGTTTGGTCTTGTTGCTATGATTCTTTAGACATCAATATAGTGTACGCCGGATGCTCAAATGGAAGCATTTATGGATACGATCTAAGAAAAATTTCAGATCCAATTTGCAAATGTGCTGTGGAAGAGAACTCGTCATTTCCAATCCATTCACTTGCCTTTGATTCTCAGAACAATGGATTGCTGATTGGTAGTCTTCGAGGCGCCTACTTTAAAAAGGACATAACAGATTCTCTCTCTTCAAAGCCAGCAGCCTTGGCGCTGCCAGAAAGCCTCAAAGGCGGAAATAAAGGTATCCCTCCGCGTCGATTTCAAATCCATTGTAGTTTCATGTACGTCTCTTGCATTCGATGACGGGGCGGCTTGCGGTAGAAATTTTTTGGTCTCCTATCGGCAGTATCCGCTGCATTTGCCCTCCATTCACATTTATGGTATGTGGAATATCTTTCCCCATCATAGACACATTTTTGCTTGACGCATTTGAAGTCGACAACATGCATGGCGACTCCTTTTCAAAACAAAATCCGACAATCTTTTATGCCTCCTCTGGTCAAAAGACAATGAGCCGAAGCGTTGTTTACATGTCTGAAGAAACCGATTCCAAAGCATTTGCCTTGCTTTCTGACGAGGCATCTTCATCAGTTGACCTCTGGTCCCTTCCATCCTATCAGCAGGAAAACATGAGGGGTAATGAATCTCAGCAACCACAGGTCATCCAAAAATTGCCTTCAAATTGTAACGAAAATATTGTTGGAATAGCACGCTCCATGATTGAGGCTAAGGAATGGATTGCCTATTGCACCGCTTCCCAGGCCGTTCTGTACAGCTCAAATAATTTATTATGTGAATAATTGATTCGATGTCACTTGTGCCTACAAGTGTGCTAAAATGTATTGACTTTTCAATATGCCATACCCTATCTAGCTTTTTTTGTTGTCACTATTTTTATTAAGCTTTTGTTTAGAAGAGGGTAATTACCAAACGAATCTTACTGGTGGATTAGGATTGCCGTACAAATTTTCACCGTGAATTTACATTAGCTTTCCAAAAAAATACATTAGCCCTAACCTTATGCGATACAGCTCGCAATTTCATTTGGTTTTTCGAATATATGTGAACGTTTACCTATATATTATCTTCGAATGAGCTTTGTGTCGTTTAATAATCATAACTACTGTAGATGTCTTTTCAAAAATTTACAGCAAGGATCCTTTATGTTTCATTAGGTCGATTTCGTGTGCATTTTTCAGGGTTCCCTATCAGTAACTATCGAAGTCTATTCATCAAATTGATTAATTCTATTGAATCGGATCTTCTCTTGCTTTTGGATATTATTTCCTGAATATTAGTGACGGTTTATTGCCACTATAGACTTTAAACGGAGATAAGTATGCAATTTATGGATCTTACGGATCCTTTAAGCCAAAAGCCTGCTGGCTTTATCATCTAGATCCGCAAAGTCTTTACAAGCTACATATTTGTAATGTTTTTGGCTCCTTCTGTTTATATATGTAAGCCAACTGCAAGAGGCTATTTGGCCGCTATTTTTGACATGTCCGTATCTTTCGGACATTTGGCTCCTATTTATGGTGCAAGAAAATTATTTACGTACACGATCGCTACACCTGAAATTGAATATTTAAATTGCTATAACTCCGCAATTTACAAGAAGGACGAAGTTGGTATTTCTCTCCAATCCAATTGCAACCCTAGCCTTAGATTGCCAAATTAAAGCTTGAAATGATCACATCTCCTCAGCGATCTAATTTGGGATTTGAGTGCAATATAAATGACGTTTAACTTCAATACGAAACATTAAAATTTGCAGTGTACACATTGCAGCCCAAGGTGTGAAGGGGTCAAATCTGGGCTTCAGGGTGCCATATAGGGGCTAGGGTTGTCAAAATTATTAAGCTTTTCACTTTTAATTATAAAATTAAAGTTGCAATGATCTACATTGCACTTCCGCCTTAAAGCATACATCCCTTTGAATTGAGGAGCGATGATTGCATTTCGTTTATCCCGAAAATTGATATAATTTTAAATTTTAATGGCAATTCACCTGTTCAACGGGCAAATCTGAGCTTCGAAATCCAAGACTGAAGTTACATTTGCGGCATTTTGTACCTTTTTGTCAGGTTTTGTTTTTGGCTGATCTCTCACATGCAGGGCCATTTGGTGGGGACGGTGTCTTGTTGATTTGAAGCCTCCACGCTCGCATCTATAAGCCATGTGTTAACGAAGCAAACAAACCTCTTCTTGTAGGCGCTTTTCACTTGAAAACGTGGTCTCATTTGGATCTTCCTCTTCAAAGCTTGACGTTCTTTTTGGTCGCTCCTTTAAAAATTCGTCATCTACATTTATAATGGCGCTTGTTCCAAGCATGCCGATTATTGCCTTGTGATAAAGAGGGACATATTTGGTACTTTTCTAAACTTTTCTAGCTCGTAAGCATTTGACCTCCACTTCGAGTACTTTTCCAGAATATCGGCAGCCTCTTTTTGCAGCGAAGAATTCTCGCCCTCTAGCACGACGATGTGGGTGTGGAGTCTTTTTATTTCATCATCTTTCTCGGAAATCTTTAGTTAAAGGGGCTGATCATGTACCTGGCTATATAGCAAAGAAATCGACGCCCTTAAAGTTGTTATATCCGATTCGTATGAGGAAAGCACACGTGCATGTGCAGTGCGAAGAGTATCAATTGCCTTCTCAAATTCCTAAATATAATCTGTGGTTTCCTACGATTGTGGGTGTTTTGATGCCCTGAAACCCCTTTGGAGAACGCTCCCCTTGCTTGTTCCCTATGGAAAATAGGGATGTTGGCGAGGTGGATTTGCTTTCGTTCATCAAGAAATTATAAATGAAATTTTTGAGAGAATGTCAAAGCACTCAATTTTTCTTTTCACTTTTTATTATTAAGAGCAAATTTGTGCATATTCTGGAGGCTGCGAAGGCAACCGGTGGTAGTTTGGCTTTATGTTGTGTAATGCGGCAAAGTGATGGGCGCCATTACTTTCCGAATAGTAATGACAGCGAGTGCATTGATTTGCAGATCCCGGACCGGTGGCATCATTATGATGATGGATAATGCTATTCAAGGACCGTGAAAAGACAACCATTACTAGGAAGAAAATTATAGAGAAGATCTAGAAAATAAAAACTTTCAATGCTCTTACCAGAGATCTAAGGGTGATCCTTTCCACAAATGAGTTGATGATTTCAGCGATTGTTTCGGCCATTAATTTTCCATGCGAAATCTTGGATCTTGGATCCGACTGCTCTGCCTTGGTCTTCCATCCCGCACACAACGAATCTAGCGCCGGGGAGTTCCGGATAACATCTTCATTGAAGCATTTGTTTTGAGAGAACAGCATTTTTGCCTGTTCTATCTCTTGAATGATCAGGTTGGTCTCTGCGTTGATTTTAATCGAAACGTCGTTCATTAGTATTGCATATAATGCCCAAATGCCCCAAATGAACGTCAATAGCCACGTTAAATGAAATACTAAGCGAAGATATCCAATCAAAATATAAGGCAATATGGAAATGTTCCTTGCATTTAGTAAATCTGTAAAGGAGGCAAAAAACTTTGCGGGGAAAGATGCAGGCCCTTTGTTTTTCAATTGGGCCGTACATTGCTCGCTTTTTTTCAATGACGAGGAATTTTTTTCGGCTTCCTCTATTGAGGTTGTAGAGTCTTCTAAGTTGGCCGAAGGCATTGACGCCAATCCAGAGCTTTGTTGCGATAGTGGTACTGTTGGGGTTTTGTTGGAGAGCTGCATTCCTGCAGTTGTGTTGCTTAAAGGGGTTTCTTGACATAATTTACTTGCATCTTTCCTTTTAACCGGAAAGGGAAAAGAAGGCGTCTCTACATTGCGATTCCAGTCCATAGGGCTAGCCTTAGAACGGCCCGAAGAGTACATTGTAAAATTAAATTTGATAAAATTTAATGGCCAAAGCCAAATTTTAATTTTGATCTTCTTAATCAACCTCAATGTCGCGAAAATATGATTCTCGAACGACAACATTCTCCCCTGAAGGACGGTTGTATCAAGTAGAGTATGCAATGGAGGCAATTTCCCATGCAGGTCTTACCCTCGGCATCATGGCCTCTGATGGAATTGCACTCGTCGCGGTGAGGAGAAAAATTTCTGGCACTCTGGAGGAGCCCCATCAGGTAGGGTTTTTATTTACATGAATTTACTCATTTAGAATTCAATGGAGAAAATTTTTAAAATAGACAAGTACTTTTTGTTATCGTAATGCCATGTAGCCACTTAGTTGCGGCCGTCGCTGGGCTCACCGCCGACGCCAATATTCTTGTCAAAGAGGCACGGTCTAAAAGTCTGGAATATTGGAGGAGCTTCTCTTCCAATATCCCAATTGAGCTATTGGTGCAGCGTATTGGAAATCTAAAGCAGGGGTTCACTCAAATGGGCGGCCTGCGTCCCTTTGGCGTTTCGCTTTTGTATGCCGGCTATGACAAAAGCCTTGGATTTCAACTATATCATTCGGATCCATCTGGAAACTACTCGGCATGGAAAGCCACGGCGGTTGGAGCGCAATCTCAAGCGGCCCAGTCATTCTTGAAAAACGAGTTTTCTGAAGGTCTATCCCTGGTCGAAGTAAAAGATCTCGCATTTAGAACCCTTCGTCATGTTTTGATTGGCGACGAAGAAGAGGCCAACAATGAAGAGGACGATATAAAGGCAGGTGATCCAACCAATGCTGACACGATGGACGAACTTGATCTCTCAGACATTGTTGCTACCGGTATGTTTTGGTTTTGATTTTTTCGTAGTTGAGGTGTCCATTTTGAAGCTTGATATTTCGGGAAATCCGGTCGTTGAAATCCTTTCTACCGAGGAATTGAGAAAGGAAATTGCCAATCAAATTTCCCAAATGTCTCTTGTTTCGTAAAAAATAAACGTTAAAATTTAATTAAATTTACAAGCTAATTGCAAAATGAAAATTTTTGAGATATCCAAAGGGTAATTTGCATGCTCTCATTTCTTCCGCCATTTTGATTGTTTTCATCCGTCAACGTTTTTGTTTCTGCTGTTCATGTCCTTATTTTTTAGATTCTATCTTGAAACGCTAAGCGCCCCTTGAGCACTATATCTAATTTTCGAAAATCTACGAAGATGTCAAAGGGAGATAGAAAGTCTGATTATTTTGGAAAGGTCCACGACCTTTTCCGTACTTACCGTAAAATCTTTGTTGTTGGTGTTGATAATGTCTCTTCCACCCAAATGCACCAAATCCGTCATTCCATCCGTGGAAAGGCTGTTCTTCTGATGGGAAAAAATACCATGATTAAGAAAGCCATGCGCGACATTGTCTCTGAGCTTCCAGATATTGAGGCTCTCTTTCCCGTGATCAAAGGAAACGTTGGGTTTGTCTTTACCAATGAAGATTTAAAGGAAGTTCGCGACATTATCCTTTCGAACAAGATCGATGCCCCTGCCAAGGTCGGCACTGTTTCGCAATGCGATGTGATCATTCCTCCCGGAAATACTGGAATTTCTCCAGATAAGACGTCATTCTTTCAGACGCTTGGAATTCCGACAAAGGTCGTCAAAGGAGCAATTGAAATCCTCAACGAGGTTTCGCTCCTCAAGGAGGGCCATCGCGTCGGTGCCTCCGAGGCAGAGTTGCTTAGCATGTTAAGTATTATGCCTTTCAAGTATGGGTTTGTTCTCGAGAGTGTTTATGACAACGGTGCCATCTTTGGACCGGAAATGCTCGATATTACCGAAGAATCGATGATGAAGATCTATAATTCGACGTTGAATGATATTGCGGCCATTTCTCTTGCCATTTCATTCCCAACTGTTGCCTCCGTTCCTCATATGCTTATCAATGGGTTCAAGGATCTTCTTGCCTGCTCCCTTTCTACCGATTATTCATTCCCAGCCTCTCAGCGCCTTAAGGATGCCCTTGCTAACCCGCAGGCATTTGCACCAGCTGCAGCTGCTCCGGCAGCTTCCGCTGCGCCCGCCAAGGCTGCTGCAAAGGAGGAGCCAGAGGAGGAATCTGATCAAGAAATGGGCTTTGGTCTTTTTGATTAGTGTGCTCAACTATTAACGCTAACTCCACAATAAACCACAATTATCAATTTCCATTCCCATTAGCAGGTTGTCTGCCTTTGCCATTTACGGCAATCAGCCGCTTCAAGTTACGTGCATCATGTAGCTAGCCTTGCAATTTAACAAAGGCATCTTTTATGATCGAAGCTATGGAGAGACAAGCAATCCATATGTTGTCAATAAATCTAGCCCGGTTTATTCAGCATCCGGATGATCCTTCCTGTCAGTAGGATAATTTAGTATATCCTCTTCTAGCGCGTGTCTCTTAGGATGAGGGCTATCTTCTTCCTCTTTTAAAATGGCATCTTCAGCCTTCGTCTGAGGGGAGAAACCGGAATCAACGCCCTCTGTCGAGTGGCTGGCTTTAGAATCAGGTATTGCAGAAGGAACGCTCGAAGAGAAAGAATCGAAATCGTCTTCCTGAATTTGCTGTGCCGCCTCTTTTTTATGGAAGATGGATGTTTCTCCCAAGGTTTCAAAATGAAGGCCTTCTTGATTATTGCTTCTTTCCAGTTGCCTCTTCATCTCACTTTCTGCAGGGCCCAAACACTGGTTGTCATCATCACGATCCTCTTCATCGGCGGCCTCCTCATAACTTCCTTCTTCGTCAGTCTCGTCACCGCCTTCGTAGATTTCGGAAGACATTTTCCAAATTTGCAGGAGATTGTCTTCGGAGGCCGAGCATATAGTCCATGGATCATTCGAATTCCAGCTAAAATCGGAGATCTTTGATGTGTGGCCCCCGTGCACAAAAAGGAGCTCTGGAGGCCCATCCGCAGCATCCTCCTCGCTTTGGTCTGCGCCAATTCTCGATACATCCCAAACATTGAGACGACGGTCTGCCCCACCAGAGGCAAAGACGCCCTTCCTATGGGAAGACCAAGACACCTGCAGCACATCGTCAGCATGTATTTCGAACGAGTGCAAACGGTCATCAACACTGCTGCATCGTCTTGCATCCCAAAGTGCAACAGTCCGATCAGCCGACCCAGTCACAAAGAAATGCTCTTCCATCGGGGAGAAAGAGACGCAATTTATCTCTCCTTTATGGGCATTCGTAATGATGGCCGTTGGTTTAGGAGCTCGTGGATCCCAAAAGATGATTTTTTTATCATCTCCCACAGAGACAATTGTGCTCGTTCCATTCATGAGGTTCCATGCAACATCTTCAACAACCTCCGTATGACCACCTTCAAAGGTGACGAGCGGGTCAAGCGCGAGATTTTCCTTGGAAGCAGATGCCACATCCCATAGCATGACCTTTTGATCTTCGCCGCATGTTACAAGATGCCCGGTGCGTTGGGGATTCCATGAGAGCCCATATCCTTCGCGGGTATGTCCGGAAAGAACAATATCTGGACGAACGACATCGTCCTTTGGTTTGCTTGGATGCTTCGTATAATCCCATACATGCACCGGGCCAGAAACGGTTCTAGTGGCAATAAGACACGGGTTCTGCGGCATCACTCTTGCTCTGTTGACCTCGCCTTCATGCAGAATCCGCTGGGTGATCAAAATGCGGCAATCAGGCGATGCGCCATACCCTCCCATCTCTAAGGATAAATACAAAAGCAAGTGAACCGGGCTCTCCAGATGCTTTTCTCGTGTCTGGCTGCTCCATCTCAAGAGGCAAAATCACAGAGGCCAATTGCAGATAATTCTGTTCCCCGCCTGAAGTGTGTGTTCCTATTGCATAAATATGGGGAAAAGCCAAGGGAAAAAGCTCAAAATGTGTGGTGATCAATTACCGAGTACAAGTCTCTGCACTGCAACTCCCTTTTCGCGCTGGAGCTCCATATCAGGGAGCCATTCAACAGTCAACGAGGGCCATTCGAGGGCATGCGTGATAATCACATCATATAAAAACGGCGCATTTTTCTTCCAAATCTTGTACTCCTCATTGATCATAAGCCGCTCGGCCTCCTGCACAGATGGCGGAGCATTTCCTGGGGCCACCTGGGTACCGCTGCTGCTCATCATCATAAAATTTATAAATTGCTCGCAAGTTTAAAAGTTTCCGTTACAATTTAACGCTAACCCTCCTCGATTAGCTGATCGTGGGAAATGGTACCGACGGCGACAAAATTTATAAAATATCTCTACAAATACCAAGTGTCCTGCAAATCAAAAGGAGGGCAAGAAAAATTCTTTTCCATCGTTTGACATCTTGTGGGCCACCGAGATTGAACAGCCAATATTGAGCTGAACTTATTGGGGCATCCACATTTAGGAAGACGCTTGTCGGAAAATTTCGTCCAAGACACAAGGGTATTCTGGGCAGCATTACAAGCTTTATTTTTAAACAAAATCGATGCATCGAAAGCGTCAGCATGACAATTGTTACGATATATTGCTCAATGGACGCCAAGGTGGACTTGGGGCCAGTAAAATTTAGCCACGGTGTTGAAGTTTAAACCGGAGGCGCAGTGCATATGCAGCGTGGAGTCCATAAATTTTCCATATAATTTGCAAGCTTTTATGGCGCCTGCCGTTGCCAAAAGGAAAAGTGCCCTGCAATCATCTGCAACTGCCACAGAGACAGCAATACTGACATATTTGCAAGAGAAGAACAGGCCATACTCCGTCAATGATATTGTCTTGAATTTGCACAGTGCTTATCCAAAGGCTGCAGCCCAAAAGGCTCTTTCAGCACTAGTGAAGGCCAAAAGGGTTACCGAAAAGGCGTATGGAAAGCAGACTGTATACGTGGCGTCACAGGTAACAATAGCGCTTTAAATTTCTTGCAGCCTGAGCTTTTCTTCCACTTTTGCGTTTTTGACATTTCTATTTTCGGCTTTGCTCTTTTTTGTGTCAGATTTAGCTAATTTGAAGGATGAGTTTGAAATACCTACCCCAGAGGAGCTTGAATCGATGGATACCCTGCTAGCTTCGCTTAAGGAGACCCTTTCCAGCATCTCTGCGGAGCAGAAGACTCTCGCTGCTGAGCTGCAAGTGCTCTCGTCAAAGCCCACTCTAAAGGCCCTTCGTGCTAACATTGCTACGCTTTCCGCAAATGTAGATACAAATTTCCGCATCAATTTTCCGCACTTTCTACTCTTTCATGACGTATTTATTGTTGTAGAATGCCATTGCCGAGCAGCGAATGCATGTGCTTTCCAGCACATCTGGAATGGTGGATTTGCAAGAAAAAAAGGCTCTTGATGCCAAATATTCTGCGCTCGTCAAGCAGGAGAAAAAGATTGAACAAAAGGTAGCGTTTGTCTTGGTATCTACTCATGTTTAGTGCATGAACGTCGTACACATGCTGGCAGAGGGTCTTGCGCTCCGTCCACCAGAGGTCATGGAACAGCTGGGTCTAGAGCGTCCCGAGATTAAAAAGAGCCAATGATGCCTCTAAATTAGCCCATCGTTATTTGTTAATAAAAGCGCTTTTAAAACAATCGAGACCCGGGCATTTGCTGAGCTGCCTATTTCAATCGACACTCAAGCTTGAATAGGGGCCTGCCACTCCGATTGTTGATCGAGGAGTGGCATAACACCCATTTTGACAGTTATCAGATCGGAAGTTATTATGCGTTTATTAAATATTGTGTGGCGACAAGCTTATTGCTGTTCTAGTGCAAAGTGTAGGGGCGACCTGCAAGTGCAGAATTAGCCTCTCTTCGCTGGCGTACAGCGGCGTGTTTGACCGAGGCAAGAACTTTGGTATCTCGGCGCAGCTCGCGGATAGCACCCCGATGCTCTCTGCGGTGAGCAGAGCGCAGGTATGACCCCTCGTCCTTGGCATCTCGACGTTTCTTTAAATGGTCAGCAAGCACAGGCTCAAGTAACCGTGGTGCTTTGACACGCCGCTCCACAAGCATCGTCATCGGTGCACATAAAATGGAATCTGCAGAAGGTTGGTTTTCAGCCAGCCGGCGCTTTGCGTAACAAAGAGCTGCTTGGGCAATGCTCGCCATACGCTTTGCCTGCAGCAATGGCCCCATGAACAGTTCCCAATCGCTGATGGCAGCAACATCGTCTGTCTCACACGAATGGGCCTTGAAAGGTGTAGCTGTGAGTTCGAGCACGGCATTGAGGCCATGGATGGCCTCTGACACCAAATGGCGACGGGCCCCGGCCAGACGCAACAGTAGCAGTGATCCACGAAGAATGTCGCCTGCATGCTCAAAAGAATAAATTTGCCCTGTTAGAACCAAAACAAAAACAGTCGCCACCGAGTGTCGTGCATCTGTAACACTGAAAATCCGCTCGATAATGATTCCGAGTAGAAAAAGTTTTTTCGCCTCCAGGGGCGCAAAAAGAAGCTTTTGTATGGCGACTGCAAATCCGCGAAGCAAATCGGAAGGCAGAATCCTTACTGTGGCCTCCAATTGAAGGATCCGCTCGACAAACCATTCCTGACCACAGCCCGCCTGATCAACAGCTTCTAGTAGTTGTTCTAGTAGCGTGTACACAGATATTTCGTTCTGACGTGAACCGCCATCCGAAATTAAACGCATGGCTTTTTCACTTGCTTTGTCGTGTTTTTCAACGACAGCTTCTGTTTCTTCTTCATCAGCATGGACATTTCCCATGACTTTGTTGTAGGCGTTTGTGTCTTCTGATTCATGGTCGTTTTGTTCGCTCTCCGGTAAATCAAGCTCACGAGCAAGGCGAGCCTGCTCAGCATCGCGTAAATACGCTGCTTTTTCAGCAGAGCTAGGCGTACGGCTAGTAGCAACAGCCTTCTTTCGCTCACTTTGGAGAGTCGTTACGATATCCTCGAATGCACCAGACACAGAGGCGACAGGGCCTTTTGGAGCGAACGAAAGCAGGCCACGAATATCTCCAAACTCTTCATCAAGCTCATCCTGCAGCTCCTCATCCATACGGTGTTGGGCTTGCCGCTCTGCCTTATGTCGCTTTGACTTGCACATGACCTCTCGCATTACCTCTGCCTTGGACCGATGGCCCCCGAAATGAGATTCGTGGACATGCTCTGCAGAGAGCTCTCCGCCTGATTCGGACCCTTCATTGTCATCATCTGTTGATTGCTCATCGCCAAGTGCACGGCCGCGATGCGTCAATGTGATCTCTTCATCGCCAAGCGCAAATTTCATGCGAGAAGCCGCCCGCTTGGAGATCTTGAAACGGCGTCGATGCTCCGCTGTGAAGCGATCCAATGCAGACTTGTTGATTCTGCGATCTGCAAAGCTATTGCTTATCTGCCGCTCTGCATATTCGCGCAAAAGCGACTCTCGGCCCAGAGCTACTGGCCGCTTGCCTTTATTCATTTTTGAAAATAAAAAGGGTTGAAATTTTAATTTTACACCCGTGGTGCCATCACCTTTGCAGCTACGGCAAACAGGGCCGCGGCAAGCCCTGCGACAGCCTGTCCGGTGGCAGCGGCCCGTCTGGTCGAGGCAGCGTCACTCAGCTCGATCACACAAAATATGGTGTCGCTCATCAGCTTACACTGTTTGATTCCGCTATTGCTCCGCCGCATTAGCTCATAAATGGTAGTCAGCAACCAAAGCGAGGTGCTAACTCTCTCAAGGTGGTCTTTACCACTAATGTCAAGCGAAAGGAGCATGTCGATGGTCAGAATATCATCAATCCAGTCTGTCACTATTCCGCACAGCTCTACAAATGATGGAGAGCCCTTTGCCTCGATTTGATTTGCCGTATCGGGAAAGGCACGTCCAAGACGATATATCCTTCGCGCTGCAGAGAGCGCTCGTGCCAGCCCTTTTATAGATGAAGAGCCCCGTACGAGTCCTAAGCTCAAATAGAGCTTTGCCGCATACTGGATTATCTTCAATGCCTTGTCCTTGCCATCGATGGTGGAGATTACCGCATGGGTACCGCGTAGCGCCCCAGCCGCAGTAGCCATCTGAAACAATCAGCTCGGTTGAAATTAAATTTAAACTCAAATTTGCCACCAACGTCGAAATGGTTGTCATAAATTTATGCGCATACTCGCTACTGATTGGCACATTGGATGCCTGCACCGCGGTGGTGGCCGCCCTGGTGGTCATCGTCGTCTTGCGAGGCAGAGTTGCGATCTGCCCGTCTCAGATCCGGCTCTGCAAGCACGACCTCTTCAATTGTAGCGGAAGCACCATGTGTCGGTAAGGCTCTCCTTGCTGGCAGCACATTTTCAAGCATTGATATTTTCTCCGGCGTCAGCTTGGTGGCCCAAGTGGAGGAATCTGGAAATTGCACGTCAAACTGAACAAAAAGGTGCCCCTTGTCATATGGTCGTCTGTACGTGGGCATGCCCTCGCCCGTAACCTGCTTCAATTGGTCTGGCTTGATCAACTCTCCAGGCAGAATGGAAATCCGAATGATACGGCCATCAAGGTGGGTTAAATCAGCAGTGCCTCCTGCAAGAGCTGTAAGTAGGTCGATCTGGACTTTACAGAAAAGATCAGATTGCTTTCTTTTGAAAAGGTCGTGCGGTTTTTCTTCCAGCACAATGATCACATCGCCAGGAATAATATTCGGGCCTTGGTCGCCTTCGCCAGAGAATCGGATCTCTTGGCCGTCCAACATTCCGCGATCCACGTGAACTTCTAGTACCTTTTTTTCTTCCACAGTCCGCTTGCCTGAGCAGCCTTTGCAGCGGTCTTTTGCCGGAAGAAGCTCGCCCTCGCCTTCACAATCGGGGCAAGTCGTCTGCATTTGCTGGATCATCATTCCCATCTGTCGGATGGTAACTCTAACCCCAGAGCCTGAGCAAGACGTACATTTTTGAAGAGACGTTCCATCTTTGCCTCCGCGGCCATTGCATTTGTCACACATGACAGATTTGCGCAGAGCCAATTTGGAGACCTTACCACAATAAAGATCCTCCAGAGAAACCTTTAAAGCATGTTTGACATCTTTACCTCGGCGAGGTCCTGAGGACCCAGCTGAGGATCCCGAACCACCGGCACCACCAAAGAAGCCACCGCCTCCAAAAGCGCCACCAAAGAATTGGGAAAAGAGGTCCTCAGGCGAAACACCGCCCATACCTCCAGCACCGGCATCGCCGTTGAGACCTTCCTCGCCGTAAGCATCATATACTTTTCGCTTTTGGGAATTAGACAGCACTTCGTAAGCATGTGAAATCTCTTTAAATTTGTCTCCAGCATTTGGATTTTTGTCTGGATGGTTGGCCAAGGCTAGCCGTCTGTATGCCTTTTTCAACTCGGCTTCAGTTGCTGTCGGAGGAACTTCAAGGATGTCATAAAGCTTCTTATCTCGAACCATTTCAAAATTCGAAAAATTTCCAAAAAATAACGGTGTCTTCATGCTTCTCGAATATTCTGGAATGTTAAGTTTTAATTTTAGTTTTAATGTTTAATTTAATTTCAATTTCCTTAAGGTTTTGGATCTACATTGCTCCAGAGAGGTTCAGAAATTTCCGAATCACCCGCCGCATAGGCATTCAAATATGTTTTGACCTGTGCAAGGTACTCCCGGTCTGTTTTGAGAATATTTACGGCCCGCTCCATGCGTTCCCTTCGGCTCATCCCTATACAGGGGCCATATTTTGTTCTCAGGTCATAGTCCCTCAAGAATCTTAGGATTTCTTTCCGCTCGGTTCCCACAGCAATGTCACCATACTCCCTTTTGAGCAAGTGCTTTTTTTTATTGTCAAGAAAGGTTGCCTTCCGCGCGGGCAAATTCAACTGCCCCTGCATGTTGCTATCGCAATGGTACAAAATACAACGAAACGTACCGTTGTCATGTTATTTATTGTAAAGTTTAAAATGTGCACATAATATGGCTGTCCATCCCAAATTTAAGGTTGCGATGATGAAACTTTTCCAAGAAAGAAAAAATCAACCCCAGTTACATGTGGATATGTACTGATTTATTGATAAATTACTTGGACTCCTTCTTATGCTTACCGAATATTGAGGGCAGGATAAATAATAATGTTGGAATAAGGACAAGAAGAACAAAAGCAGCAAAAAGTGCACAAACTTTCACCTCCAATGGAGCTGGATTCGGAAACTGGTCTTGTCCCCACCGTACGCAGATGATCGACTCGAAGATAAGGATGATCGATGTGACAGCAGCGAAGGGCCGAGCTTTTTGAGTCGTGGATGATTTATGGCAGTCTTTAGAAAACAGGTCGTAAAATTCACGCACAGCTCCAGAACCAAGAAAGACTATCAAAAGTAAGCGAAAGGCATTGAGCGGATGCACGGTCGGAATCCACAGCAGATGCTTAATATAGAAGCAGGTGATCTCGGCAGTCAAAGAGCCAACCAGCAGAAACAGGACTTGAAGATAGTTTTTGAAGGATTTCGTGGCCAAAGAGGTGGGTTTTTGCTCGAAACGAGAGCTAGAATATGCCCATGCGAACGGCTTGACGCAAAGAAAGCGGCCCAGAACCAGTCCCACGAGGATTCCAATGGCGTTGCATAGAAGCACATCTAGGATCCAATGATCCCACCAGCATTCTGCAAAATTCGGGAGCTGATGTTGTAGTGCATACTCCAAAAGCTCAAAGGCAATGCTCAAAATCCAGCAGAAAAAAACATCTCGATAGATCAGTGCTTTAAAGACCCAGCCAAAAATGTGAAGCGCCACAAAAACATCGAGCTGGTCGAAAATGGTTTGCCACGTGTCCAGCCCACAGGCTTCTGCGTATGAACGGGATGGCAATGGAACGCCGAGGCGGCTGTCGAAAACAATGCGCAGAGCCTCGCGCGCAGTCTCAAGAGGAATAAAAAGGAACGGAATCAGGATACACATGTAAAAAAGGCCAATGCCAAGAGCAATGCGCCACATGATTTGAGAAGGTCGGATGAACGGACCGTCGGGGATGAAGGCCATGGAAACAAACAGTAAAAGCCCCAAAACGCCACAGCAGGCGGCGGAGATATATTCGCCCATCCCAGGGGATCCGAAATTTATGTAGCAAGCACCGAAAGCAAGAGACGCAACAAGGGCAAATACGGGAGGAATCAAAGACCGAGGTTCATGGGATTCCGGAACACACGCTGGTGGCAACACGGGCGAAGCAGGTGCAACCGGTGCTGACCCATTGCATTTGGCCGGTGAAACCTCTTGTGTGGCACTGGAATTTTCTGTGAACGAAGATTCCTTTCGTTTTGATTGGGCGCGAGATCTGGTCAACATGAATGTGATGACCGTTGAAATTAAATTTAATTTGCACGCAATAAATCGGAATCTGTAAATGTTCCGTAAATTGTAAATTATAATTAAGCACCAACACAAGATGCATTTATGCACGTGCAAGCAGGAAATTCCGATGGCATTAGTAAGGCTAAATAAAACTACTGGGCATAAATTGCCTGTAGCTCGTATTTTATTGTAAATTTATTGAAATAAGGTTTCTTCCGCTCATTACTGCATTCCAGTAGCCAGATAAGCCTTACCTTTGCTTGCTTTCGTGTTACGATTTGATCCTTGTTTCTGTGCTCATGTCGCTATGTCAATGATGAGTGGCCAGTGGTCTGAAGTTCGATTTCTGCAACTCATTCCATACTGATGGTAAAATTGGACGTTCGTCACACGAGAATGGAGCTTTTCGCTAATTAGGCCGTGATCTACAATAATTGAAGCCGCTCTTTACCAATAAGAGACCGCTCCTTATTGCCGTCATCGAAGCAATTTCCATTCCGATCGTACCAACATGAGTAGCGATCTTCAAATGGAATCATGTGTGCTACATTTTTCAACATGGATGTGTGTGAAGCTTTAAGGATGCTCAGAACCTATTGAAATTGGAAACAAAATCAAACCCGTGACTTTGAAGGGCGCTGATAGGGCACTTTAACTTCCTCATCAAAGTCGTTAATGTCGCCCAAAATTATTGCCTCCGAAATGCCAGTTTTGGATATCTCGGTTTTCAAAAAGTGCCGCATTACATGTGCTTGCGCCTCCCGCATCGAACATCTTTTAGGATCTGTGGGATATGCAAGCAAATGGCATCCAAGCATGTAAAAATCCAAAGCCTCTCCGTCAGTCAATAAGATTTTAAATTGGGCCAGATAATGCTTCGACACCGCGGTAAGTCCCTGTGCTTTGCTTTTGCACTTTGAGCCCTCCACAGGGTATGAGACTCTAACTTCGCTCCGCTTAAGTGGGCGAGTGGGATCAATTTTGGTAAGAATCCCCACATTTTGCCCTATCGTCAATGAGAGCCAACTGCATACCAGTTGAGGAATCTGAGCCGGGCACAAGGTACCCCTTGAGTATGCCTTGTGCTCCCATTTCAGCAATAAGAGCCGCCAATACACCACACCCCTCCAACTCGTTGATGTGCACCATATCTGCATCGAGAGATTTCAGGAGTTCCCCGACCCTTTCTAAATGTTTTTGTGCCTCTTTTTTGTCCTATTGCTTAGTGTGAAGACTTGCCTTCCATGGACATTGAAACCCTGGGCATTTTAATGAGCCCTTCCCACCATTCAGGTAGAGCCATTCAGCATTGAACTCCACTATTCGTAGTCTACTTTTGTCGCTTCTTCGATCCTCAGAAAAAGATTGCGGTGTGTCTTTTTTTGATGGGACCCAGTTACAAGCCTCGCAAATTTCGTGCGCATCAGAAGACCATTCATCGTCATCGCGCATCGATTTTTTTCTTTTCCTTTTTTTTTGTGCTTTGGGCTTTTTGCTGCGATAAAAACGGGCTTTGCCTATGGTTTTTCCAAGAGGACCATTAAGCTCCTCATCCTTAAAAGAATCAAACTTTGAGATATCGTAATTTTCGTCTTCCTCATCAAGATTTTCGGCGACCGTTTTTGACAAAAATTGGTTAACAAAAAGACTTTCTTTAAAAAAGCGCCAAAAGCCAAAAATCCGATCCCCCCACAACGAGGACCAAATACCTGTGCGAAGTGGATCGTCTTTTACAAAATTTTCTGCCTTTCCATGCTTTTGCGAATTCTCTGCATAAATATTCTGGGCGCTGCTGTTTGCGGCCCATTGGATTTTCCTTTTAAAAAACAGAAGAACATCGGGGTTAATATTTCTCGATTCAAGATCTGAAGAAATCTCGTAGTGCACGAGAAAGACCCAAGCAACGGCAAACAGCACCCCAATCAAAAAAAAAAGGACCTAAAGATGAACAAAATTGATGCATTAAATAATTTCCCAATTTAGCACATTCTTACCGAGCGCATGATGCAGGTGATCAAAAATTCAAATCATGCTGCTATCTGTACCCAAGTGGCCGGATTTCACGTTGCTGATATCACCATACAACACCCATTAACACTGATCGTCTTATGATGCTTGTCACCAAGCGTGGCAAATTTTATGCTGATTGTTGCCTGACGTGGCAAATTTTATGACGATTTTATTGGGTATTAATTAGGGTTGCGATTTGAAAAAGCACCTTCCTGCGTTTGCTACTCCTAATACATTAATAACGTCATGGTACCCTGAAATGTCTGACTTGGCGATCTCGTGACAAAGACGGGGAAGAGCCTGGCTGGTGTTCTGCAGAGTATTGAGGATATTCTCTTTTATCCTCAAAGCGATGATCTCGTTTTTTGTTGTTAGATACAATTTTACAAACGGAGCCAGCAGGGGATCACAGCGGTCAGAAAAAGAGAGCAGATTGTCAATGATAAACAAAATTATGGATGCGGGAACCATTTTTCCGTCAACGCGGCCATGCTCTACCAATCGTAGTGCTGCATTTAGCGTCAAAGGGGCGAGCTTTCGCATCAGAAGATAAAATTTATCCAATCGAAAGCTATCCAAGGCTTCCCATTCAGCGGCGATGGAGTTCCAAAATGAATCACCATACAAACGTGCAGATGCGCTTTCGGGGCCTCCCAATGTATCAATGGCCGATCGCGAAAGAATGTCTGTAAGCACCTCCTGCCGCTCAGGGGTATCTGTCATCCATAGTGAGCGAAGAAGTGCGCGCCACAGCTTTAACATCGATTCAAAAGAAAGAGCATGAGAGGGCTTTTCTGCCATCCAACAAAGCACGCGTGAATGTGCATCTTCGCGCACTAGCCGCGCCGAGCTGACCAGATCCTGGATAATAGCCGAGCTCATAAATAATTTTTTTATTTTTGAAGTTTAATTTAATTGGCAGTCTGTTTCAATTCCATCATGCCGATGCGGAAGCGTTGCTCCCCACACCCTGCAATGCATAGCAGTCTAAGGGATAGCCTCAGCAACCAAGACAACAATTTGCGCGCGGAGCGCGTACCGCCATATGGCATATTTTCCCCATTGAACTACAATCGCCAGAAATTTGATCCCCTCTTTAAGCACTCTTTGTGGACGATGAACCAGTTTCTTCAGTCTGGAATCACAGGTGATGCACTTGCAGATTTTTTTCGACCGCATTATGATCCTTCCCGATGCTTTTGGTTGGATGTGGCCAAGCCGACACTTGACGATATTTCCTACCTGCAGCAGCTATTTGACCTGGAGACCGAGACTATTGCAAGAATCATTTCCCATATGACAACCCCCATGATCAGTCACTCACTACCAAAAATTATTCACAATCCTCGGTATATTGTGATTCTTGCAATTGCATTTGACGCTACTCCTTTGACTACATACTATTCCGGGGTGGCTGCACAACTAGATGCAAAGGATCGCCCACGTCTTACTCCTATTGAGGATCAGAGTTCATTTTCACTATATGCGCCTTTGCCCTCTGAAGCCCATAGCGTGGCAACGAGGAAGCTTACGGACCACCGGCTCAACATATGTGCAATTGCATTGGGAGACTCGCTCATCACCCTTCGCCTTTCTGCCCTATCATACTGTGGCAGTTTTTTCGATGCCATCAGCAGAAACCATCATGGCACACTTTCCGTACGCATTCAAAATATGCCTGTAGACAATCTAAGTGCGAGCCATCAACACCATATGGATTATCAGCAGCAGAATTGCGTGAATACTCAACATAAGGGCCATCAAAAAAGCTTATCTCAGGACAGCATCGATGGCTCCTATAACGTATGGCGTGTGGCTCTTCCTAGAGCGTTTTCTGGAGACGTAGTGGCCTATCCTCAAATAGTCGCTCTGCTTTATCACGTCTGTTTTGAACGTCTGGCCGCCACTTATTTTTCTCTTTTTCAAAAAGAAACCGAGCTATTCCTCGATCGGTTCGAAGAGTCCAAACTTGCCTCCATCACTAGGATCCGGTTTGGAACCAGATCTAACCCTAACCCTAAAAACATCAACAGAAGGCACCCTCGCTCGGAGAATTCTGGCTGCAACGACGTAAGCTTGCTCATTTGCGCAGATACCTTGTCCCGCATTTTGAACTTTTCGCGGGTCTTGGTGTCGAGCGTAGTGACGCCTGCCTTCCCGACGCTTTAGAGCAGCTTGCTGCTATTGAGATGAACTTGAACTGCGCTCTTGAAGAGCATTGCCAGGTTGCAGAACTAGCGTTGATTGCATCGTGCTCCTACAGAGACGCCTTGCTTAAAAAATTGACAGTTATCACTTTTATCTCGATGCCGATATCCATCATTAGCGCTCTTTTTAGCATGAACATTCCTCTGCCGTGGGTTTATGCAGATCCTGTGGCGTTGCCGCCGCTTTCGTTTCTTTACCACTACAACTACTCGGCAACACCTTTCTACTGCACATTGGTGATCATGCTGATCCTTTCGCTACTGAGTATGTTGCTGCTGCGCAACCGCGGATTACTTGACAATTGGAATATCCTCTTCTAGTGGTTTATGGATCTATTTTCTCTCCCACAAGAAAGGACATCACTGAAACTCAAGGTATTGATATCAACCCTTCTCCCGAGGACACCTACCCCACTTGAACTAGCTGCCTTTCCATTTGAACTAGCTGCCTCTCCACTATGCTTGGATTTTTCAATTTTTTATTGAGCAGAGGGGCGGAAAACACGGAGTTCGCTCATCTTCTGCTTCTGTGTGCCTGTAAATGTGCTGATGTCACAGAGCCTTTCAAAAACATCCGGCTAGGGTCAAAAAATATATCTTACCATTTTTTCGGTGTTAGGCTGCGAGCGTAAGGAGTATCTCGGCGAACGGTTCACCTCAGCCCTTTGATGTTTATATGGGGACCCAATCGAGTGTCGAGCCGTGGGAATCGTCGATCTTTCAATGGCCAGCATGGACCTTTCGGTCGCTAGTTGCGATCGTTCTGCAAGGGAAAGTCTCTGTCCAGTAGCTAATGCTGGTGCATGGGGTGTCGTTGTACCCATCAGAGTTGGGCCTGTGGAGGCTGCCACCAGTTGTAGCAACGGTGCGACTTCAGTGCCGATACGCGCTGCCAAAGCATCAATGCTTGCCACGAACTGGTCAAAGTTGATTTTGCGCTCATTGATGCGCCTGATCGAGTTGAAAACAATGTCACAATCTGTAGACGTTGCCCGTCGTCCGGAAAGCCCATGATTACCCCCGAGGATGCCCGCATCACGGAAAATTTTTACGTATCGTGACCCATCCATCAAAGGCACACCTGCAGCAGACAATTGGCCAGATGGTACTCCGAAACGGCAAAACCGTTCAAAAACTGTGAACAGACGCTCAAATAAATCGGTTTCTTCCCTGCAAGTATCAAAGCCTCCATCTGTGGATTGCCGATCGGTATCCATCGAAAATGCAGAGTGCTGATTAACGTCAATTTGGGGCAGGTCCTCTTTTTGTGGGGCGGCTTCCATTGTGAAGCCAATCTGTGGCGTTTTGTGTGCAGAAATAGCGCCATCGAGCGCCATTTCATCCTCAATGACCGGATTGGATTGCATAAATTGCTGTTTGATTAAATTGGGCTCAAATTTAGCAAAATTAAATTTTAATTCTTAATGACGTCGCTGCTGCTCATTAGCGGCGTAGCGCTAGTCGGGGGCTCGCTGGCTGCACGGGGGCTGCTGCGCGCCTGGCGCAACATGAATAAAATTTCACAGCTGACAGGAACATCCCCGTTCATCCACTACCATCAAGGCGGATTCGCTCCCGTCATGACGCGAAGGGAGGCCTCGCTCATCCTTGGCGTTCGGTACCACTATGCCCTTACCACGTAGGGAGTATGATTCCCACGAGCGGATAAAAGACGCATATAGGCGCGTATTAATGGCAAATCATCCGGACCGCGGAGGCTCTCCCTATGTTGCTTCAAAGATCAACGAGGCTCGAGTGCTTCTCGAAGGCAAAAACAAATAAATTAAATTTATTCAAAAGACTTTCTACCAAACGGGGATGCATCTCTCAAATGTTCCATTGCAGAAGGCGTTGTAAGCAAACGGCTTGAAAATGCCTCTTTGTTGATGTGTCGAAATCGGTTCAAAAGCAGAACTTTTTACTATGGACGCGCCGAAAAGCTACTTTCGAGTTCGCTTTGAAACTGGCTGTAAGGTAGCCATCCGCTCTCGCGGATCGATTACAAGCAGGTTCTCTGCGTCTGTCTTTAACTGGCGCTCACCGGCTTCTTTTTCGAAAAAGAGAAGATGCGATTGCCAACCATGTTCGGCCTCTGCCTGTGTAACGTTCTCTGTAGTTGGCGATGCAGCGGCGCAAGATTTGCATCCAGAAACAAAATGCAGAGCGCATGGAGCCCGAGATTCATCCAGAATGCCATCACTGGCTGCCGTTTTTTCAATAAAATTTCTGGCGCCATTGGTATCTTCGGAAATTTCCACCGGGGCTGTTGTCTTTTTGAGAGAGGAGCGAAACCGATCGAGGAGTACCTGCGTTTTTGTGTTAATGCTATCCGAGGCCGATCTGCAGGCTCCAACACTGATCCCCGATCTCCTTTTGGAAATCTCGTCGATTTGTGCCATTCTCCAAGCAGGCATTGTTTTCCGGCCACTCGAATGCATTGCAGACTTCGAAAAAGACGAATCTTGCTGAGCAGGTAGTTCCGATGCGGACTGCTCTTCTATATGCAAAGTAGGAAGAAATGAGCTTCCCGGTTTTTCAGGAGTTTCTTCTGAAAGTTGTAATTGATTGGCGCGCTGTTGGGCAATCTGTTGTTTAAGGCGAGCCTTCGCCTGAGCGATGCGCTCCCTGACTTGGTCAGTAGGAACTGACATTTGTAAAATTTAAATTTCATAAATTCGAAATTTAATTTACATACGCTAATATGAAGCTGAATCCAGGTTAGTTTGCCGTCCTTGTATTTCATCTGTCCTTCAGGGGGGTGATATTTGTTCTCTGTATCATGGGTTAGCCTTGATATGTTTGACATATGTTCTCCCGATGGGTTTCCCTACACTTTCCCTTGATTTTCCCCAATTCTTTGATATTGATCGGCCTATATTTTAGTTCTATTTTTCGGATCCCCTTTTTTCTTTCTTAATCTTACAAATAGAGGTGACTTCATCGCGCAGAAAGTGCCGTAAGGCCCACTTCACTGCTCCCTCTCATCTACGCCAAAAGCTGATGAGCTCTGCTCTCTCCAAGGAGCTGCGCCAGAAGTATCTGGTTAGATCCATGCCCATCAGGAAAGACGATGAAGTGCTCATTGCGAGCGGAAAATTCAAGGGCAGAGAGGGCAAAATCACAGCCGTCTATCGCAAAAAGTTTGTCGTCAACATTGAGCGTATCTCTCGCGAAAAGGTTCAAGGCGCCACAGTCCCAATCGGCATCCACCCATCGAATCTTGTTATCACCAAGCTTCACCTTGACAAGGACCGCTTGGCAAAGCTCGCCTCCAAGGCCAAGCCAAAAGCTAATTAAATCTTAACATCCCCAAAGTGTTCGTCAAGTGCATTTATTTGTTTTCAATTAATTTAGTGGGTGATCTACTTGAAAAAGTCACGGACCGTGGAGAGCCACGCGACATATTCCTTGCGTTCTTTGACATCCATGTACGATCTGAGCACATCCGCAAGCTCTCCTGTGATGCCAAACGTCTCCAAATAGCCGCTAACGGCTTCTTGCAGGTCTGTGGAAAGGTCTACATAGTTGGGGCCTGTGAATACATCGGATGTATAGAGCTCTGCATTCAATGGCAGAGCGCCGGTATGCATGGAGTGAACTTCGACACCTTCTGAAGAGAGACTGATTTCAAAGGAGAGCGATGAATTGCCCCTAGTAAGAACAAGCTTGGCTGCAACGGGCTCTAAACCCTCGTCCATCATGTCTGCATCCTCATCTGCCTCTATTTCGTCGCCTTCTTGGTCATCTTCTTGCTCTTCTTCGTTACTTTCCTCGTTATCCATTGTCTCTTGATCGTCGTCATCCCCAAGCTCGTTGAGATAAACTTGGCGCACATCAAAGGCCAGGGAAAGCTTTGTTCCATTTTTCTCACCAGAGAGAACCACCAATGCATCACCGGTATTGTCTTTCGAGATGGTCAAACCGTGAGCTTTGAAATGTTCTATAACCTCGGAAGGTACCTCAATGGGGTCCGTTTCAGTCATTTCCTTCTCGTACTTTAACTCAGACTCAATAGCGGCTTTGAGGGCCTTTTCTGGAGTGTTTTTCATTGCACCAGCTGCACGAGAAGCTGAAGAACCGCCAGATGTGGTCATGCCGCTGGCAAATCTCCTTTGGACAGATATTTGAGAAGAAGATGGATTGGCAAATGCAATAGAAATGGCACCAGCACCAGATGTCTGGCTAACTGTCATGCCCAGGGTGAATCTGCGAGCGAGCATGCTCATGGAAAGTGATCTTTTGGCCGTACTTGACATGAAGGAAGTAAATGAAAACTTTCAACACATGCGCGACACTGACCACTATGCGATTTGCAATTCAAGCAAATTGAATTTATAAAATCCAAGCATTGTTTTATTTTGTAAATTTTCAAAATATCACCATTCAAGACCGTAAAACGGATGCAATGGTTTTAGGGTTAGGTTGCTCTTAATGCTTGACACAATGTGAATAGACTGAAATCCCTCAAGTTTATTGTGTTAAAATATTAAATCCGCTCCAAGCGCCTTTCCCTGCCACACAGGAAAAGTCTCAGAATCAACCGTTTTCATGACACACCAGCAGCAAGCCACATTAGCGCCATTTTGGATGTGCAGATTTCCAAATAACCCTAACAATGGGTGCAATTTGCGCCGATTTTAATTTTCTACACGATTTGTAATTACAAGTTGTAGGTTTTTAAAAGGCTCAACCGCAAAACGGTAGTTCTGTGCAACTTGAATGGAAGTTTTACCCTTTTCAAAGTTTTAAAGTAATGGTGTGCCGTGGGTTTCACCACTTGAGCGGCAAAATGACACGTCTCCAGTGTTGAATTAACCACATAATGCAATAGCTCGGCGATTGCGAGATTTGTAAACAGATGCTAAGGAGTTTTATTTATCAGCAATTGGAACACTGGACGACTTCGTATTTTGAAAGAAGCTGATTATTCCAATGCAACTTGCCTTGCACAAGATTCTCAATTAGATCTGGAAGATCATTAATAAAAACGCGGATTTGAGTGGTCGAGTCTCTCTCCCGAACAGTAACCGTTGCAGGGATATTTTCCTGAACCTCCGTAACAGTCTGATGATCAATGGTAACTGCAAACGGCGTTCCCAACTCGTCAGCACGGGCATATTTCTTTCCAACGGTAGCAGAGGAGCAATCAGCTTGCGTGGCAATACCCTTCGATTTCAAAAGAAGAGCAATATTGGAGACCAAATCCTCGAAAGACTTTTGAGAAAGCAATGGAGCAATGAGGACCTTTGTTGGCGCAACAAGCGGGGCAAGAGAAAGAACTGATCGCTGTTCATCTTGAGCCCTAACCCAGTAGCAATGTTCCAACAACGCATAGATTATCCTGCCAATTCCAAAGGACGGCTCGATGACAGCTGGCGTGTATTCTCGAACATGTGTCGTGGTCAGCTCCTTTCGAAGACCCAGCATTTGAGAAGGAACCTCAACAAAATCTGATGGACAAGAGGCGGACGAGCGTTCAGAATTCCATCCTGCAAGGGGAACCGCCACCTTATTGCGATCTAGAGACTCTTGCAAAATTTTCTCCATTAATACGGGATCCTCTTGTGCGAGCGCGATAGCATCGCAAATGAGCTTGGCATCTTTTTTAAATGTAATTCCAATTGCCTTTCGATCCAACTCCGCAACTACACGTAGCTCGGTAACGGGAGTAGAAAGACGCTCTCTTACGACAAGTTTCTCCTTTGTCTTGAGAGAATGAACGGTAAGATCGAACGCAGCGCGATCAGCACATCCGACACATTCGATCCAGCCATACGAAGTAAGCAGCTCAGCATCCCAGCAGTCAGATGCATAATGGGCCATTTCGTTGGACTGGTGCTGACGGAATCTGATGATGTCGGGGTGAAGTCCGATTTTCAGAAGAAACAAATAAATTCGCACAAGAAAGTATCCGAGCGTCGAATTATCAATAATCCCCTTTTCAATTGCATGATCCACGCGTGTCATGCAGACCTGCTCAGATCCGGAAGACTGCATTTCTCGCGACAAAAGCGGAAGCGAATGGAAAGAAACAGACTCGAATTTGGGGTGGAAATTTTTGGCTTCTGGATTTACGTAATGTTCAATTTCGGCCATCAAAAATTCTCTGACGCGGAGCAGCCCTGAACGAGGAGAAATTTCGTTTCTAAACGATTTCCCGATTTGAGCAGAGGCAAACGGCATTCGATCTGAATTTGCCTCAAGAAGACGCTTGAAATTTACGAATTGACCTTGAGCGGTTTCTGGACGCATGAATCCCTTGAGAAGTCCAGAGGGCCCGATTTCTGTCCCAAACATCAAATTGAAGGGTGAAAGGGGAGTAAGTGAATTTCCAAGATCAGAAAGCACACCATAGGATGCAAATTTCGATTGAAGCTCATCCGGAGAAAATCCATCAAGCTTGGCAAGATCCATAGTGGCATCTGCAATGGCCTCTGGCGTGGCATCTGCTGCCTCAATGACATGCTTTTTGATCCAAGCCTTCAAAAGATGATCTGCCCGATAAACATCACCGGTGACACTGTCTCGAGTCATCCAATCTGAAAACCTATCAACGTGTCCAGAGGACTTCAAGACTTCATATGGCGTAAGAATGGTGGTATCAACTTCTAACATTTCCTCCTCAAATACGAAGTGTCTCCTCCAAAGATCAACAATGTTGGCCTGAAGGGCACATCCTGGCGGTCCAAAATCATAAAGCCCAGCAACGCCTAACGGAAATGAAACAGACAGGAATACCTCCATATATGCTAAAGGCAGGGGCGTAGAAAAATTTCTTTTTCAACAGTTCATCAAGTTTAGATCTCCCCTGAAGTGTCAAGGAAGGCCGGCAAAATGTCGAAGCAAGGGAGAGATTCTGAATGGATGTCATCGCCTTCGAAAAAGGAGGGAAGTGAAAAATGTTACTAATTTTGATTTTAGAAATGATGACTAAGAAGCTGGGTGTAAATTACGCTAGTTTTGCGAACATTTTAATTTCCTTTAAAATAATGGACTGGTTCAAAGGTGTCTTGAAAAGCCCTAAATATATTCTTGCCCCAATGGTGGATCAATCCGAACTTGCCTGGAGAGTCATGGCCAGGCGATATGGCGCCCATCTTTGCTACACGCCAATGATCAATGCACGCTTGTTTGTTGAGAACCCTGCCTATAGAAAGGAGCATTTGCCAGATGAGACATTTGATAGACCATTAATTGTTCAGTTCTGTGCAAATGATGCTGAAATGTTTTTGGCAGCTGCAAGGCTTGTCCAAGATAAATGTGATGGCGTAGATCTAAATTTGGGATGTCCTCAAGACATTGCTCGTAGGGGCCATTATGGCTCCTACCTACAGGACGAGTGGGATCTTATCTCAAAGATGATATCCATAGTAGCAAAGGGCATTTCGGTTCCCATTACTGCCAAGATACGAATATTTCCAAGCGTCGAAAAATCGGTTAAATACGCCCAGATGATAGAGTCTGCCGGCGCTTCTCTGCTAACCGTACATGGCCGAATTAGAGAGCAAAGGGGCCATGCAACAGGCCTTGCCGATTGGGCACAAATCAAAGCCATCAAGGAGGCCCTTTCGATTCCAGTTATTGCCAATGGAAATATCTTGTATTTTGAAGACATTGAAAAGTGTATATCCGAAACCGGGTGTGATGGTGTTATGTGCGCTGAAACGCAACTGTATAATCCGGCATTGTTTAGTGGGAAATTCATCCCCGCTCGTGATTTGGCTTTGGAATACCTGGATATTTGTGAAGAGACTCTGGTTCCCTCTTCTTCGATTTTGAGGAGTCATTTATTTAAAATTTTCAAGCATCTTCTTCCTCATCATACAGATTTACGAGAATCGCTTGCCACTGCTCCAGATCTTTTATCAATGCGTGAAATTTCAAAATCATTGGGAGAACGTTTGACCCGAGAGGACAAAGAAGATGAATTCCCGCCATACAATTTTTCAGAGTTCAAACGTATTCCCTTGCAGATGGCCCAACCGTATATTCGCCCTCTTCCAGACCTCTCAAAAATGCCCAAAAAGCGGAAGCTACTTCAAGACATGGCTTGGGCAAATTAGAATTTAACATTTCAGGCCATTAATTAATTAACTTGTTTATTTAAATAAAATAATTTCCCAAATTTTATTTGATTTATGAAGGTTTTTTCCCATGTACATAAGTACGAATTTTCCTGGGAAATGGTTTCACAAGCTCTTTGGCTCAAGTACCCAAATCCTCTGGCAACACATGTATTGGCATCCGATATTTTGAGCAGGACCATCGATTCGGATGGCATCCTCCATACGGTGCGTCTCCTTTTAAAAACATCCTCAGTTCCTTCATGGGGCAAATCGGTAAGCATGGTTTCTCATTGGCTAGTTGATAAACGCGCCAGAGGCGCTTATTGTAGAAAGATCTTCCATTGATCCAGTAAATAGGATCATGACCGTCCAAACTGGAAATATTTCCTATGCAGGGCTGATAAGAGTCGTTGAAGATCAAACTTATCAATGCGATCCAGATAATCTGCACTGGTATGCAGTTTTTTCTTTTTTTAGGACAATTGTAAAAACAAACGCCACGTTTACCTCGAAGATTAGATGGGGTCTCAGACAGACGCTCGAGTCGTTTTCCTACTCCAGGTTCAAGGAAAACCTTTTAAAGTCCACTCAGGGCATTCAGCTCATTTTGGAAAAGTTCTTTGCACCCAGGACACAGCCAAGCACATAATATTAACAGTCAAAATTAAATGTTCACTAATATATTTATGCCGATCCAAGGCCCAGTATAAATTCAAGTCGCCTTATATAATTTACTGCCAGTAAAAATCGGTGCAAAAATCCATATAATTTGACAGGTAACGCTTATAAAACCAGGGTTGAGGGTAGATTTTTGCGGAGAACAATGGTCTTTTGTGACCACTTACTTGTCAACAAAGTAGCATGCATTTTGGATTTGGCGATAGCCGGTAAATTTTAATAAAATTTAATTTCCCAAAATGCATTTGAATGATAAGCGAGATGAAACTTGTGTAGAATATTAAATTAGTTGCGTAAACGTAATTTATTTAAATTTAATTGGTTAAACGGGTTTCTTCTATGGTGCTGAAGCATTTTATCACAGAAGAGTATTTAAAAGAATCTCTGGACAGCTTCTCATTGGATATCGAACCGGCTGTATCTGAATCGCAAAATTCGAGCACCAAAAGGGAAAGGAAGTTTGCCATTATTACGGTCTTAATTTGCTCCCTTCTCTCACTTCTTATTTTACTTGTGCTGTATCAAAAAGACTCTTTTATATCGACATCTACAGTTATCATACCTGCTTCCATTTCGGAAAATGTTATTCCGTGTCAAGGCCACACGTATCCTCTTGAAAAAAGCCATGACAATTTTTCACATGCCAACAAGCATGCCATCATTATCGATGCTGGGTCCCAAGGCACCCGAATGCACATTTATGAGCTAGAATTTTGCAACGAGTTTCTAATTGCAGTGCATAAGGACTATTTCTCATCCATCTCGGTCTCATTCTCATCATTAGCTGCCACGCCTAGTCCCTTCATTATAGGCCCCAAGCTCATCGACCCGCTGCTCTCAAATGCTTTGAAGCTTATTCCAGAAAATGAGCACTCAACTACCCCTATAGCTTTGAGAGCTACTGCGGGAGTCAGACTCCTTCCAAAAGAGCAAGTAGAGGCGCTTTTATCAGGGGCTAGGCAAGCACTTTCCAATTACCCTTTCCTTCTTGTCGACGACACGAGAAATTCTGTAGAACTGATATCCGGAATTTCTGAAGGAATATGGGCGTGGATTTCGATCAATTTCCTGTACAATAATTTGCTGAACGACTGTGGTTGCAATATCACCCTGGTATCAGCAAAAAACTCTTCAACCTCAATCCAAGTGCAGGAACAATCCAGCAATTCAGTTATTGACCTGGGTGGAGTTTCATTGCAAATCATCTCTGAGATTTCTCAAGAGGAGGCCCAAATGCTTGCCAGAATGGATGCTCGCCTTGCCAGTGGATTTCCGGTGAACAGTCCACCTCTTAACCTTGTACATCCAGTGCGATTCCAAGGCAAGCAGTACTTGCTTTTTGTGCACTCTTTTCTTAACTATGGCTATCAAACAGTCCGCTCTTTAGTTTTATTATCTATTTGCAATTCCGTACTGGGTACGTCGTTTGTATCCATATCGTCCACTGAGCACCAAAAGGACATTTTAGCTAGCGGAAAAACATTTCCAGCCATCGTTGCCCATCCCTGCTTTACCAGTGGTACTTTAGCCGAGCCCATGAGTGTATTAGTTTCTAAGACCTCTGAATATCCCAGTTCCGCTTATGTCGATATCACGAGCTCTGCACAATCCTCTTGGAGTCGGTGTAACGCAGTCGTTTCGTCTGTTTTGGACACAAAGTCCTGTAAATACCCTCAATGCTCCTTTGATGGGGTTCCATTTCCTCGTTCCATGTTGAAAAGAAAAAACGAAATCATCAATCTGTCGTCGCACTTTTCATCAATTCTGGGCCCGATTCTAAGACTTCTGCCAACATATGGCTGCTCTGAAGGTGGTTTCACTTTCGTATGGAAAAGAATATTTAAGAAAACCCCCAGCGGCGGTAATACATACCAAGGCCGTCCTTCGTCTTTTACTCATAAAGACATTTCGCTTAGTGACATTGAACGCCTAGGCAGGATTATATGTTCGCCTCTTTTTACAGAAACGAGGTACCCCGATATTTTTGAAGCTTTTCAGAATTCTCATCCCTCAATTCTCCCAAATCTTTGCCTGGATCTAAGCTACATTTATGTCATGATGACTAAGGGGTTTCATTTGCCAAAAAAAGGGCCTGGCTCTTTTTTGCGTATTGAAATGGAAAATATCGGAAATGCATATCCTTGCTGGACACTTGGTGCGGCAATGAGTTTATTTAGAGCAGAGGAGCATTAATTATTATAATTGTAAAGCTAAGCTTACAAGCGCGAAATCATTGCCATTTTGCCATAAGCTACCAATTGATTAAATCTTTTTCATTTGATTACATCGAGGTGGAACAAAGTTAAATCAGCTGGAACCAATAATAAACCCATGTTTTAAAGGCTGGAGATCGGCTGTAAAACAAGAATGCGTGTCTTTCCTGAAGAGTCTGTATGGAAGGACGGCACGGCAGAGGCCCCAAAAAGCCCCGAGATATACTGCGCCAATGGCTTTCTCTGATGATCCCCGCCAATTTCAAGCACCAAAATCCACATCTTGGAGTGCTTTGATAGGCCATGCACGCGAGAAATTATTGCCTTGTGGATATGTATGCCCTCTGTGCACAGCCCATCAAGTGCTTGGGCCGACTCCCACGATCTTACAGAGCGAGGAAGCAAATTTATTGCCGCAGTCGGAATGTACGGCGGATTTCCAATCCAAACATCCATTGGGGTTTCCATCGATTTGCAGAATTGCAGATTCAATCCTATTTGGACATCCCTCTCTGACAATAAATCCACTGTTTGGAGATCAATTGGCGTATGGTTGACAAAATCAACTTTCATTTGCCTTTGAAGCGACCGTATATTTTCAGCAGCAAGGGCCATTGCCTTTGGATCGATGTCAATCAGTTGGATGGCGATGTTTTTGGGAGATCCTCCGAAAATGGTAAGAAAACTGCCAAGAAGGGAGAGCCCAATGCATCCGCTTCCTCAAGAAAAAATACATTTCATACCTGAACAGAAATCAATAACACGGAGGGGCGTGTTTGGAGAGATGCGCGGGAAAATCATTTCCGTAGAGATCTTGTGCAGCCATTCTTCTGTTTCCCAGCGAGGAATCAAAATCGGAGCCTTTGAAATAAAAGACCATCCGCAAAATGGTTGTGTGCCTTGCGAGGTGAAAAATGACCTTCCTACCAATGATATATGCAATCGGCTTTCTTAGCCATCTATGTTCATGTGTTGCTCGATTGACCCATCTGACAGGCCTGCGTGGGCGCTTAAATTCTTGTGAAACATCTCCATGCTTTGCATGCTGGGTGAGCCATCGGCGAATAGTAGCAAGTGAGGACATGCGAAACAGGCGAATCCTTGAGCGAATTTTTTAAAATGAGGGCTGCCCTTTCTTTAAAGCTCGTATCCGCTATTTGCTCTGCTGCGATGCCTTTCTCGCCACCTCCTTGGATCTGGCGTCAACCTCAAATGAAGGACAGCTGGGACTTTCCATCCAGTCTCGCGATTTCTCGATCATGGAGGGATGTTGATGCCTTTTGCAATCATTTGCTTTCTTCGCCCGGGGGATCTTCCAAGGGGCATCCCCTTTTCATAGATATCGGCATAAAAAAATCCATAAAAGACAAGCTGAACCTGTACTCCACACCTCCATTTGAATATATCATTTTTGGAACTCTTGATGCAATCATGCTAGTACTACACGGCTATCCAAAAAAATTGACTGAGATGGCTAATTTTAAAAGACTACTGAAGCACGGGCTAGTTTCGAAGCTTTATTGGTTTGGACCCGGAATGGAGTGTAAAAACTCCCCATACACCATCATGGTGGGCAAGGAGTTAGGAAAGACATGGTGCAATCTTGAACTATTTTTCAAAATGCTCGATATAAAATCCGTAGAGAAAAAGCCTCTTCCAGATTCCCTTTTGTCGTTAATTACACTCGATAATGTGACAATGTGGAAAAGAAACTCTCCTCAATATTTATCCCGGACACTCCTACCGTCAGCCTCTATGGTTTCCCCTGTTGAGCTACAGACTTCACTGTGTGAATTATTTTCTAAAATCTCGCTGTTCAGGAGTATAATTAGGGATGCCCAACCGAATCTTTTATGGATGAGCGAAGAGGACGAATGCGAATTTTCCAATTATTATTCAAGTGACATAGGGAAACTCGGTTAATGCCGGCCGCCATGTAGACAAAAATTTTACAATAAATCTAGAACTTACAGCGTGGTGCCACCCCTTTTTCGCCTCTATTTTGGTGGCAAAATTATCTAGCGTTCTTACAATGCCTAATGCTTTTATTTATTTTCAGACAACTTTCTTTCGAAAAGTTAGCATTTTAATAGATGTTACAATAGGATGGTGGTGCAACGTCATCGAATCACTGCGATACAATCATTCATTGGTAGCTCAATTATCTTTTAAGTTTCAAAGGACAGAATAAGCTATAAATTAGCAATATCATTGATATCGGAAATATAAAATGCCCCTCCCCCCTCTAAAACATTTCTGACACTCGAAATGCTTAATTTAAGCATACTCAGGAGCAATTTAAAAGCTTCTGGAAAGAATAAAGGAGATCTTGAGGTGAGATCCGCTTCGAAGCGTCTCCTTGCAACAAGCCTTCTATGATGGAGATGAGAGCACATGAAATCTCAGCAGGAACTGTTTCTCCAGATGGCAAAAGTAAACAAGATGAATTGGACAATGACAGTTTCCATGGATTCTGTCCACACTCAAAAAACCCTCTTTTAATGGCAATAAGCCTAGGAACAGATGAAGTGATCCCCCCAAAAGGGGAACACCCAGTAATTAATGACCATAGGGTGACACCAATGGCATACGCATCGCCACCTTTGATGGCCTCAATGGAGGGCACGGCCGACAAAAGCAGGTCTGGAGCTAAATAAGCCTGCGTCCCACAAGAATCCATTAGAACGGGAGAGTGCAATGTTGAGAGCCTGATTGTCGAACTGAAGTCGCCCAATTTAACTTGTAAACCTCCGTGATTCGAAAAAAAAGGAAAAAGGTTGTGAGGCTTGATATCACCATGGATAAAATTCAGTTCAAACAACGACACTAGCATTGAAGAAAGCTGATGTCCGGTCTTTAAAATAAAATCAGAGGTGATAACTTTTTTGGGAACATTGGCAAGTGAGCCATTTTCTCCCAATTCTATCAGCAAAACAACTTGAGAATATCTAATATCATCGGTCGATAGATACGAGGCATTGACATTGTCGGTTCTGGTGATGAAAAACATGAAATTTTTATAAACTATCAGCACCCCAAAGGCCTTTAACCCCAGAGAGGGAGACGACTTGAAGAATTCAGATTGGAAGTACAGTTCGCGAAGTGCAATGAACAGCGCATTTGGATCTTCTCTATGGAAAACTTTTACTGCCAATTTTTCTATATTATCGGATGTGTTTCCATCCAGGGTATCATTGGTAGTCTTACTATTGCGCAAGTCTTTCGGATAAAGGCTAATTGAAGAAATGGCCTCTTTTAAGGGTGCACAGCCCTTGTAGACATTTGCATGGTTTCCTTGTCCAAGAAAGAGCCTTTTCTTAACGTCAATTGAATGAGGGATGAGATCCTTCCACAAAGCACCGTCTACTGGGCTCATTTCAAAGAATGCAAATAACACATCCTGGTTTTTTGGAGTCCCGTCAACATTCTTTGAAGGATTGTTAATATCGATTTTAAGGTAGCTGGTAGGCAGGGGGAGTGGCGAGGATGGCGGTGATAGCATATTTGGATTGGTTTCTGGCTGTAGTTCGGGGCAAGAGGATGAGGGTACATGCATGTCCGGGAAATCAATAAAATGGGTGCTTTAAAATTAGCTTGTAATACACATCGATCAGCAAATGAGCTCGTGGACAACTAACCATTAGCCAATAAATCTAAAGCCAATTTTAATTAGCCTTGCAAAGGAAAATTTTAATTAGCCTTGTAAGGGAAGATTTTAATAAACCTTTTGAATTGACAAAATTTAATTGATTGTTAATGGTATCTTTTAAACGATCATTTCTCACTTGCATAGGGTATTATTTCAGTGGGGCTTGTTTCGAGAGATGGAAAAGTGTTGTTTTCACGCCAATTTATTTCAATGCGCAAGACGTTTGTAGAGGCTCTGTATTCAAGATTTTCACGGAAAATCCCAGCCGCCACATCAGGCTCCAAATCGTCGTCTTCCACTCTGGATCATTCTCTGATTGAAGATGAAAATTGTAGATATATCTTTCAGCCATTGGATGGCTCTATATTTTTGGTGTTGGTTACACTCCCTACGTCTAACGTTGTATTGGATTTTCAGCAACTTCGTTCTCTGGCCACCATTATTTCTAGCATCGCCGGAGAAAAAAATCGTCTGCATGGACTTGAAGATATGATGCGTAATGTGTTCCCTATTATTCATGCTATCGATGAGACATTTTTCCCGCTCTCCATTCCTGACTCGTGCTCGATCTCTGCCGTGCAAACAGCACTGGAGATGTATTCGCAGGCAGAGAAAATGGAGGACCTCGTTATAAAGGACAAAGAAAGAGAGACAAAAGAAAAGGCAAAAGAAAAGCTAAAGCAGTTAGAGGCCATTAGGAAGGAGAAAAAAGCTTCCGCCTCGTCCATGGCCGCTTCAACCCAGCCAGTGATGCCGACTCAGTTGGTATACACCGCCTCTCAATCACCGACAGATAATTACAACAATGGATCTTCTTTTGTTGCTGGTTCTACTTCCAAGTCGGGGGGAATGCAGCTTTCAAAAAAGAAATCGCAAATTCCCTCCACTTTGATAAACACCTCTGGGCCTGTACAAAAGAAAATCGAAGTTGCTTCAATTGAGCAAGTTTCAAGCCGCTCAAAGTATACATGTGCAAGTGATTACTTTTAGAGTTCAATTGGTTGTGTCTGAAATAATTTCTCTAACTCTATTGAAAAGTGGCGGCGTTGAAAGTTTGGAATTGAAAGGGGACCTTGCTGTTCAGGTATTGATATCAGTTGTATTTAGGGTTAGGTTAATGATCCACGTTTCTCTACATCGCCTATTTCTGTTTCATTTAACTCCAAAAGAGAGGGTCTGTTGTTTAAGGTTCCTCGCGTGACTTGCCTCACCTCGTAGACGCATCCAAACATCGACAAGGCAGCTTTCAACAGCAAATCTATTCTCTTGCCAAAGGACCATAAAAAGTCTTTTCCGCAAGGACAACCGATATCTATCCTTAAATGGAGGTACACGTCTAAAGATGAATCCGATATCCCGCTGATTGGTGTTTTGTGCCATTTAATGATCTAGTTAACTGCTGGCCAGAATGTTCATCTCCAGGCACATACTCGTACAGTGCAGAATATGAGTTGAACACCAAGATTGCTGCATTTGTTGAAAATGTGTGCATTCGAATTCCTCTCCCAAGGTATGATCACCCTCATAGATAGTATAGTCAACATCAGCCGACAGTAACCGAATTTTCTGGCTCCTATTCCGTCGTTCCCGGTCGAGAAAATAGCTTTTTGGAATGGAAAATTCCATTGATCGATTCTGAAATGCCATCAGGAACTATCGAATTTAGCCTGACTGGAATTTCTTCAAGCGACGATGGATTTTATCCGGTCTCAATCTCCTTTTCTTCAAGGAAAAGTCTCTGTGATTTTAAAGTTCGTCATGAATTTGTCTAATACTCCGTATTTAGGTCCTGGGGATTTCTGACACAGAGACTAATGCCCCGCTCTCTACTGATGATTATTCATATGAGTGTTCTCTTGTCGCAATGGATTACATTGTCATATAGGGGGGTTTACTTTACTAATAAATTTGTCCCTTTCAATTTTAAATTTTATAAATTTTGATTTTAGTTATTCTTAATTTTATTGAAAATGGTACGTCCCTTTCCCTTAAATATAAACGAGTCGATCCCTATATCATCCATCTCATACTAATTCCTAGGCCGACGATTCAGCTGATCTAAAAAAGCGTCGCACATTCAGAAAATTTTCGTTCCGTGGAATAGAGCTGGATGATTTGCTGGAGATGAAAAATAACCAACTTCTTGATCTCTTTCATGCACGCGCCCGTAGAAGATTCACCCGTGGTCTTAAGCGCAAGCCAATGGCTCTTATAAAACGCCTTCGTAAAGCCAAGCTCGAATCTACAGAACAGGAAAAGCCAGCTGTTGTTAAGACCCATCTGAGAGACATGATTATTGTACCTGAAATGATAGGTTCTAATGTTGGTGTCTATAATGGCAAAACCTTCAACCAGGTTGAAATTAAGCCAGAGATGATTGGCCACTATCTTGGTGAATTTTCCATCACCTACAAGCCTGTCAAGCACGGAAGACCCGGTATCGGTGCAACCCATTCTTCTCGCTTCATTCCTCTTAAATAAATTTATACTGGAGACCCCATTTGTGTATGTAGTAGCTGATATGGTACTTTTAGCAATTTCAGCTCCTGCGATCTTAAAATCAATAAGAGTGTACGGCTACTGGCTAAAAGTAGCTGAGGGTGATGATGATGTGCCGTTAACATGTAGTGATAGATACAATTAGCGATTTATTAAAGTAAATACAGGCATGGAATTGACTATTAAGCCGCCAAGGATTGTGCATACAAGACTTAAATAGATGGATTTGAAGATGGAAACAGAGCCTTCTTTGTTCACCGTGAAGAGAATGGCAAAGACAGCGATCCACTCATGTGAAGTGATTTTAAAGCTTGACAAGTAGAAGAAAAAACAAAGGAACTCCCATAGCATTATGGAAAATAGCAGCATTTGACATTTCTTTAAGACCGATACAAGAAGCCCTTCGTTTTGATCAACTGCTCGATTTTGGATATATGAAATGTCATGATTGATTCCTTTGGACAGAGGGGTACTGTAGATCCCTAAAAAGGATTGAATGTCTATATCCTCCTTAGAAAACTTGCT